TGTGTCGCTAAAAGCTATACTTTTGCTGACGCATAGCTTTTGCCGACGCTGCATACGTCGCCAAAAGTACACGTTTTGTCGACGCAAAATATTATACGTCGCTAAAGATATACTTTTCCCGACGCATGACACGTCGCCAAAAGTGTACTTTTGGCGACGCAGTGTATTTGCGTCGCCAAATACTTCCTTTGACGCACTTTTGGCGACGCGTTAGCGACGCTGCATTTTGCGTCAGGAAAGATTTTTCCCGAAATTTTTTAAACTTTTGTCGACGTTTTTATTTCGTCGGTAATGTTGTATTTTGTTGCAGTGACGATTAAATAAATTTATCTTTAGTGGAGGTAAACTTACCATGGTGATCGTATACACTTTGTACCACCTCATGCACACCAAATCAGAAAAGTGGTGAAATGTCATTCACAAAAGTTTTCATACCAGCCAAACAAAAGTTTCCTATTTTTTATATCAACATGTTCTCCGCAATATTTTGTGTGAACCAAACTCAAAACAATCTATTTTTTTTGAAAATTTAAGTAACCAAAACTTGCATTTCTTACATGGATTGTATTGCGGAATACCATGGGAAGCCGAACCAAACAAAGCGCTTTAAGGAAATACTATAACAATGTGGCTTATTGCAATTTCAATGATTTGAGCTCTTCTCAAAATATTTTGAAGTCATGTGCGAAATTTACAATATTATTATCCCGTATCGAGACATAGGGAAAATTAAATCCAGATCCGAAATGAGGCGTTTTTTCATGTTCACGCGAGGCTTTGAGTCCTTTTGATCGCGTCTTCTTCATCCTAACAGTACGCACATGAACTCGTCATCATGAATCCTCAGCTATTATCTGCCAGCACTCCATAAGATTCGCAGAAGTACTCCTCTTCCATTCTCTCTCCCATCCTTCTCCTTCTTTTGTTTCATATGGATTCTCAAGATCGCTTTCTCTCTGCAGTTCTCTCTCATCCTCTGGTCTCCTTCCTGTCGTTCGCCAGTGCAAGGAGCGTTTTCAAGTGAGAAAGTACAACCGGAGGAGGCAGACCACCACATTAACGTTCTCAGAAAACACGACGGAACACCGCCACTACACGGATCTCTCTGAAACCTTGCATGTTAAGCGCAACTACCGGTATGTAGAATATAGTTTCCTTTCCATTTCGCTTGCTGTCCCTGTTTGTCTATGTCTATTTGTTGATTTTCCCCGTGGTTTGGATTGAGTTGTGTTATACTGATTGTAATGATTCGGACGCTCCACAGAATTTGACAGTGCTATGAACAGAAGTCATATTTTTGGCGTAAATTGTGAAGGTTGTCAGGGTTGCTCGATGAGGATGATTCTCTAGGGATGATTTGACATTCTAGTACCACACTACGCTCCAGCCTATGGAAAAAAAAATTCTGTGCAAATCATATGTCACTCGAAAAAAGTTATCATTGCATTTGAATTCTTTTTAAGTATGTAATTAAAATATATTTTTCATTATGTATATGACGAGAGTGTTTTCTATGGCTAATTATCGTGAAAGCCCCTTCAAGTTTGACAAAAACCCTCTGTAGTCCATGTTTTTCATTACAACACCCATCTTGTTATTCCATCTCCCATCTCTTGATCCCAAATAATGAGGACGGTTGATAAAGTGAAAATTAGTAGGAAAGCGAGGTAATCTCTTCAAAGCCTTTAATATCAGCTTCTATATGGTGTAATTTTAAAATTTCTCGTTATATGTTGTCTATGAGATAATGTAAAAGTGTTAAGAGGAAGAACAAAAGGATAGTTTTGAAATATAATTGGGTTTTAACAGTTTTTAATGGCATGGGGTTTTGTAATGAAAATATAATGATAGAGAATCTCCTAATAAATGATAGAATTTAAAGGGGTTTCATATTACTAAAAATAACGGAAGGGAGCTAGAGTGAGGATAAAATGACCACTGTTACTTACTTCTGATGTGAAATGACATCTTTTCCCTCATCTTTGACTTTGACATCCTCTTCCCTTCAAAAAACACCCTACCCTACAATGTCTTATTTGTGTTAGTAAATATTAGATGTCTTACAACTAATTAAGCAGGCCATGCACGTATTGTATATATAAGTATAGCTGATTGTAGATGGCGTTACAATTAATAGTAGTAATAGGTTGTTATGTTAACCTTCTAACAATAGGATTGCTAGAGCATTAGTGCATGAATATTTCGTTAGTGAACTACGCGCGTTGCTACAGGACCCCAAATAGAGGACGGCCTGCACTGGGACAGTGTGAGGTGCCGCCTCCCTATCCCGTGATGCATTGTTCATCGAACAGTGCCATCACGGACAGAGGCCGACGACCTCATCTCACCCGCACTCAAGGCCCGCCCTATTTTGGGGTCCATGAACGTCATTTTTCATGATACTACTTAGCAATTAATTAAAAGAAAACAAGGATATTGATGGTTAAGGTAATTGGCAATGCAAATGTCCATTTAGGATGAGCCGAATCCCCAAACAGCAGCGCATTACCACATTACTTCCCTTGTCATCATAAATGATGAGAGAGAGAGAGAGAGAGTCGCCTGAAGAGATTGAAAGACGCTTAAAAAGTGCCCAATGGGCCAATGATATAGCTTTCAAGACAGTGAAACCACCAATTTTGGATGAGTGTTTGTGTTAAGGTTCGTGTTTTGTTCATCCTCTTAACTTTGCCTGCCTCTTATTTTTATGTGGAAATTGTAGGAATATGATTTTCATTTACTTAATTCATATTATGATAAAATTGATGAAATGGGATCCACGATGTAGTATTAGAGATGATTCACCATTTGATTTGCTAGAGACAACATGTTTTGCTGGCTCGCTTTGCGAGGCTTTCATGTCTTGAAAGTAGCTTAAATTGTTGATTGTTCAAATGAGATCATTTTCAAAAGAGGTGGTTAATTATACTTATACCAGATTATGAATTGAACTAGTTTAAAGCTTTGAGTTTTGACGCAGCTTAAAACCAGTTCATTTTGTAAATATCATATCTAATTATTTCTACGCATAGATCATATAATGATCTAATCAGGATGGATGATGTTCTTGCCTACCTATTGTGATAGCTTATGATAAGAATCCCATCTGACCATCTCTTTTTATCATTTTACCACGTATGTGTATATATACTTTAATTACTTTTACTTCTATATTGATCAATTTATTTAGTTTTTGAAAAATATTTTTAGAACTCGCTTTCAAACTTTTTTTTAGAGGAAAATCTCTTGAAACTCAAAATAGAAGACAATTTATCTGTTGTAGCTCATGCTTCATTGCTTAAAGCATAACTAAAGTAAGTGCTTTGCGCTACTATGAAGCAATTGTATTTTCAAGCCCATGTTGTGAACAAGATAGGAAAATATAAAAGGTTTTAGACTAAATTTGAAATATATAACAATCTGGCTATATTTTTTTTGTTAATGAAAAGATTTTATTTCACTCACCAAAGTGTAAACGTTTATGTACATCAAGTCTCTTAATAAACTGAGGTATCAAACTAAAACATCTAAGATAGAAAAAAGATGTCCAGTGGAACTAAAACATCAAAACTGCCTGATACTGCTACATTGAGAGGAGCCATTTACAGGCTTCATCCGGCAGTGAGCTGTTAAGTGAAATGGTCCAAGTATCAATCTTGATGACTTTGATCGGCTGCTCAACACTTCTAGATTCCTCATTAAAGATCCTAGCATTCCTCTCTCTCCAAATGTTGTAGATTGTAGCCGTTAGTTCTAGTCTTTTAATTCTCTGTTTGCATCTTTTTTCCCTCAACCTGAAAAATATATCAGTTCATGAGAATATGTCAATCCGTTGATCTCCACTTGAACTTAAGTCACTCCATAATGTCATTCCACACACTATTGGAGAAGTTAGAGTCAAAGAATAGATGATTTCTGTTCTTAACTACTGCACCTTCACACAAGTAGCACTGGTTTGATTGGATGATCCCCCTCTTGAGCAATCTATCCTGTGTAAGAAGTTTGTCTTGAATAGCCAGCCACATAAAGAAAGAATGTTTGGGATAGTTCAACTTTTCCCAAACATTAATATCATGCCAGACCACCTTAGAACCTGATTTTAAAGCACTATACAGAGCAGAGAGGTGGATTTTGGAGTTGACACAGCAAGAGTTAAATAGATTCCTCAAGTTCACAACCCCACCCAATAAGTTCACAACATCGTCTTTGGTTTTGATTAATTGCTTCCATAACCAAGAGCCCTCAGCTTTAGTCTAGTCTTTACATACCAGATATCACTATCCTTCAGATAAGTACCATGAACCATCTTGCTATATATTTTATGTACCTATGCAACATTACATTTAAATATTAGGATGAGTGTCTATTAAACATGATCATCCGACAAAAAATAAGATATAATATATCTTGTATATGTAGCTTAGTTTATTATGATTTGCGTCTATACTTAGAAATTTAATTCTTGTTTACTAATCAAGACCTGAAAATATTTATTTGTAAATTTAAATGTACTTCACATGTGAGGCTTACACCTCATGCTTTAGAGATTATGCCTCACTTCATTAAATGGCCTAACGCTTTGCCTTGCACTTCTGTAATTTTAAACATTGTATTTGTTTAATTATTTCCCCTACTATGTTTGATTCCCCTCTCCCTCCGGAACAATAGGATAATAGCATGTTGAACACATCTAGACAGAACACACATGTCCATCCATGTATGACACTTACAAATTTGAAACTGCTCATTACATTATATGCAAACTCAAGTATCTTGTGCCAATTTTATTATCTAAATATTCCATAGGTTATTTTACTCATTGAGGTTTTTCCATGTATAAGTAGCTTCAAATATGCATATGTATGAGAATATTCAAGTGAAACATACAACAATTTTGCTCATGCAGGTCTTGAACAATATAATATTCAACGACGTGTATTTATGTTGAAGCATGATACTACTTTTTGCTTTACTAATTGTTGCTCTTTTGTTATGTGTAGATAAAATTGTCTTCGTACAACCCGAAGGTTTCTACGAGTGCAAAAATTGTGGCGCGTGAGGAAAGTATCTGTGAAAAAGTATCCCCCATATTTGGCAAAAACATTTCTGAAGGGTTTTGTAATTTGACTCTCGGCTACGTGGATGGCTCGGGGACTTATGGTTATTTTGTTACAGATTTACTAAATTTCAATCATGTTTCAAATAACCAAGAAAATCAACCAGCCAGAGAAAATATCACATTTGGGTGAGTTCTCTACCAAGTTTCCTTCTAATCTACTCTTTATTCTTGTACTCAATTGTATCTTAACAAATATTGTGTTAGTTCAAATGAGATAGTGAATTGTGATTTACGACTGAGACTACACCAACTTTTAGTAATATTTATGTATAATATTGTCTTGAACTGTTTTCAATCGGTAGAATACAACTCGGTAGTCACAGTTTCAACAATCATAATTGCATCTTCTGCCTGAATGCTTGAATATAAGTTCAATATATTAAGTCAAGACTAAGAATTGTTCTAACCAATATCAGGTTTCATCAAATTTACTTAACAAAGATAAAATGAAAGTAACTCAAGTTGAAAAATGAAGGCATTCATTATAGGACTGCAAGGTTAAATAACCCATGCATGAGAATGTGTAATTAGTTCAACAATATTAGACATAAATGAATTCTATGAAGACATAAGAAGTAGTAAAGAAACAAATGAATATCTTATGAATAAACTTAATATGCACAACAACAATATGTTATTTTGTAACAATCTAATTTATTATTACGATTTTTATTATTAACATGGGTTTTCTATAATGTGCCCTTCAGGCACATGTTTAGAACCATTAAAGGGTTATCAACTACTCCATTATCATAAATTGATGTGTAAATTGGTGGTTTTGATTTTTTAACTAAAACTGATTATTCTAATCGTTTATACTTTATGTATTTTAATTTTAATGAAAATAAAGAAAAACATTAAATTCGTACACGTCCTACAATGGTGAAAGTAGTCTAACCATTTAATGGTTCTTAACATGTGCTTTAAGGGCATACTATAGAAAAAACCCTATTAATATATATATGTCACATATACACTATTGCACACATGTTCAACCACTACTCATCAATTTGATATACATGTGGCCCACCCCAAGGCTTGCAGGCCCATTAATGATAGCAACCCAAAAGTCAGGTCAGTTACACCTACAATGTTCACTACACTATTAACTAGTCTGCTTAATGAGTCCGTTTAAATAGATTAGTTTAGAAGCCCAAGGGTCATACTAGATCACTAAGTAAGTCCTTCTATGATAGTGAAAAAATTGGTAACCATTTAATGGTTCTTAACATGTGCTTTAAAGGCATAAGATAGAAAAAAAAACCCTATTAATATCTATATGTCACACATGCACTATTGCACAAATGTTCAAACACTAGTCATTAATTTGAACACAAATCTGTATTTTGGTCCACTCTCGCCATAGTTGAATGACTCAATCCTCTCACAATGAAACATGGGGCTCACACGATGTGGGTCATCCAGTAAGTGGCTCAGGCAGATCGAGGGTTGGCAAGCCAGGAGTATCCATATGGTTTCCCCGAGAGAGTGTTCTTGAATACATTTGGCGGGAGTAGTCCTTAAAAATTAAATAAATAAGGAGAAGTTCAAGAAGTTGCCTCGTTGGTTTATTGTATCATTTTTTATTTGTGTTTAGATTTATGTATCATGTAATGGCATATATACGGGTCCAACTATTCACACTCCCAAACAGTAATTTTGGGGATGTGTGAGGACTAAATTGCCCTTCTCCCAAACCAAAATAGGTCAAGTCCATTCCAGAAACACCCTCAACATCAAAATGGTATTTTCGGCAATCTAACTCCCAAAATTACTGTTTGGGAGTGGATATAGCAAACATGCATATATACATGGAGTATGCCATCTGGGTCGCTTAGTTGGAAATTCAAGGGCATCCGAGAGAAGGTCACGCCCCGGCTTCTCTTCTCCCTTGGCTTTTTCGCCATGTGGCCAGAGAATGCCCTTTCCCACCTCTTTGAAAGAGTCTAGGAGGAAAATTCGGAACCTATCATATCTTTTTCTCGTAAACCGACTTTTCGATTTCTCTTTTAGCCTAAATGTATAAACTAAACAAGAATGTACCTCAATCCTGCGAGGCTAAGAAGAGGAGCATAGCTTCTTCATTGAAATTCGTCTGAATGTCATAAGCATTCTATATTTATGCGCACCGGAGAATGGAAATGTCATAGTCGTGACGCTGATGGTTCTGAATTGATTCCCCATCATCGATGAAGATCATCAGAGGGTAAGGAGGATTAGGATGATGTTAATGTGTGTCCGAGTGTTGCTCTAATCTAAGAGAACATGTTGGCAATGATGACCCTTTTGCCTCCTCCTTTTTCTTTAATTTATCCCAAATGCAATCTTGACATAGAGGAAAACATACAAGGGCAAGGAAAGAGTAGCGTCAAGTATTGCATGAATGTCACTTGAGTAGGTAGTGATGGCTTTCACTAATATAATGATATGCTGCATGACTTCGATAACATGCACCACTTGTGTTACAATCATCTTCTACTGAAGGATACAAAAGTGCAAGAGAGTTTCTCCAGGTTAGTTATAGGCGAACATGGTGGTAATGTAATACGTGTGTATTTTCTTCCTTACTTCGGAAGCTTGGCGATCCTCATGGGAGCTTGAGGATAGACGATTATCATGATAACTTAAGAATAGAGGCGCGGGTGGAGCCGTTGGTGGAGGCGAAAGAGGTCAAATACAGGAAAACGACAAGGAAAACATGAAGCATGCAATCACTCTGGCCGGTCAACCGGGCTTCCAACATTGGTCGACCGCGAAGGCTAGACTGGTTGATCGATCGCTCATCATCGGTCGACCGAAAACGGATACGCCTACAGGGTTAAAAACCTCTCTCTGGTTGGTTGACCGAGCCAAGCAGGCCGGTCGATCGGATCGCGGTTCCTGGGTGAATCTGGATTCCTTTTGACGCGTATTCCAAGTTCAATTGGGCTTGGTTATTTACGATTTTACCATCCACGTTGTTAGACATATAAATAGGGATTGTTTAGGGTTTCTAAACATTAGATTAACAGAAGAGAGATTCTAATCAAGAGATTAGGGTTTAGAGAGAATAAAGAGATTGTTTTTTAATTCTAGAGAGATTGTGAGATAGAGATTTTTGTAATCTTTTATTTTTCATAATTTAGAGAATGTATTTTTCTTCGTCAATTGAATTGTTTTGTGTGTTTTACTGTCTTCTTCTCAAAACCACATTTGATAATTTCGCGATCAAATGTGCTCGCACGGCGACTCGTATCAAGTTGGCATCAGAGCATTTAGATCCTGTGAATGAGGTGTCCTGTGCATGGTCCTTACTCGATCACAATACAAAGAGCTAGGCGAGATTCTTATTTTTTTGGAAGAAGTCCAAAAATCAAGAAAGAAGAAGATGGCAGAAAGCGACAATTCATCGAGGCTTGATGTGATGGAAAAACAGATCGAGACAATCAGTTCGACTCTCATGAAGCTCATCGATCTCATACACGAAGGCGAAAAAAAGGTAAATCTTCGGCGGGATCTAAGAAAAAACCTATAGAATCCGATGGAGGTAGTGAGAATTCAAATTCCGATGAGAAGATCGAGGTCGTCAAGTGTGTTTCGCATCAAGGGGGTAAGGGGCCTTACCAAAACCTGAAGATTGATTTCACAGTAGAGATTCATGTTTATGATGTGAGTGTTAATGTCGAAAGGCTTGATGATTGGATCGAACATATGGAAACTTATTTTACTCATTATGGATATTCTTCAAAAGAGAAGATCCTTGATGATTGGATCGAACATATGGAAACTTATTTTACTCATTATGGATATTCTTCAAAAGAGAAGATCGTTTTTATGACATTGAAGTTTTCAGGCCACGTATTGACGTGGTGGAAATCCTATTGCAAGCAGGAGAAGAAAGCAATGTCGTGGAACAAGTTCGAGTTGCTAAGAAAGCAATTTTACTTGGTGGGGTTCTTTGAAGAGTGTTTGTACAAATGGTATGGTTTGCACCAAAGATTCAATCAAACCGTTCAAGAATACACTACAGAGTTCTAGCAGCAGTCCATGGTCCTCAACATTACGACGGAGGAGTTCTCTGTTTTTATGAAGTATATGACGATTTTGAACGAATACATCCAGAAAGAGATGAAACTATTCACAGTTAAGTTGATTACAGAGGTGAGCGTGAAGTCTATTGCCATTGAGGGCAAGCAGAAGAAGAACAACGAGATGAAGTGAGATGCTAAGCAAGCTAGAGGAGAGTCTAGTGGTTCCCAACCTAAGAAGAAGAAGAAGAAGGGTGATCCAGGAAAAACAGGACTGGTTTGTAGTCATTACGAGAAGATAGGACATATAGTTGATTGATGCTGGGAGAAGTATCCTTATTTCAAGCCAAAGGGGTTAAAGAAGAAGGAGAAAAATACATACGTGATAGCACAAGGTCCAAAAAAAGTTCTAGGGATGACAGAGCCCAACAGCAGTCTCAACTTTATGGCAATGAAGTAGACCACGAAGGAGGACGAAGACCCTAGAGAGCAGCTTTTTATTCTTAAGTTGCAAGTAAAGACCAATTTGGTAGATGTCATAGTTGATCAATGCAGCGAGAAGAATTTGATATCCGAGGCCTTGGTTCAGAAGGTGGGTCTGAAGACAATCAAGCATCTAAAGCCCTATCTATTAGGATGGATTCAGAAGGAGACGGGACTGGGTGTAGTTAATCAATGCACTTTTAGATTTGCACTCCATGAGTCGTATATTGACAATGTTATATGCGACGTAGTCTCATTAGATGTTTGTCTGGTTATACTAGACAATCCTTATTTGTGGGATAGATACGTAATCTATGAAAAACTGGTTCAGAAGTACACATTCACCAAAAAACAATCCTTATTTGTGGGATAGATACGTAATCTATGAAAAACTGGTTCAGAAGTACACATTCACCAAAAATGACGAGAAGTTTATATTTCGTTTGACATCTCTTCCGAAGGAGACAAACTTAATGACGGTGAACCGAGCGAAGAGGCTAGTGAATGCAAGCAAGAAGTTTGTCTCGCTATTCATTAGGCCTTATGAAGAGCCACTAAAAGCAGATTGTAATTTGGAACGAAAGGTGACTACGACGAGACACGGGACGAATGAGTCATTTCTGATCGGACGTCAAGGTCAAGTTCCTAGCAAGGCCAGGTGGTTCAATAGGGAAGGAGGGGCTCGCGAGTTCCCTCAGCTAAAGTTCTAACTAGAACGAGTCTTCAAGTTCCTAAAGGGGGGGATCCATGATATGGGTGTATGTTCTTCCTTGCTTTGGGAGCTTAGCGATCCTCATAGGAGCTTGAGGATAGACGATTCTCATGGTAACTTGAGAATATAGGCGTGGGTGGAGCCGTTGGTGACAGCGAAAGAGGACAAAGATAGGAAAATGGTAAGGAAAACAGGAAGCAGGCAAGCACTCTGGCCGGTCGACTGGGCTTCCAACATCGGTCGACCGCGAAGGCTAGACCGGTTGACCGATGCTCATCGTCGGTCGATCGAAAACGAATATGCCTACAGGGTTAAAAACCTCTCTTTGGCCGGTTGACCGAACCAAGCAGGCCGATCGACCGGATCGCGGTTCTTGGGTGAATCTGGATTCCTTTTGACGCGTATTCCAAGTTCAATTGGGCTTGGTTATTTATGATTTTACCATCCACGTTGTTAGACATATAAATAGGGATTGTTTAGGGTTTCTAAACATCAAGTTGACAAAAGAGAGATTCTAATCAAGAGATTAGGGTTTAGAGAGAATAAAGAGATTGTTTTTTAATTCTAGAGAGATTGTGAGATAGAGATTTTTGTAATCTTTTATTTTTAGAGAATGTATTTTCCTTCGCCGGTTGAATTGTTTTGTGTGTTTTACTGTCTTCTTCTCAAAACCACATTTGATAATTCTGCGATCAAAGGTGCTCGCACGGCGACTCGTATCATAATGACGTCCTATTTAAGTTGTGTCTTCCTTTCCTTGAGTATATGCTTTTTCCCTTTTTCCCATCCCTTCCTTCGGTTCGAATGTTATCGATGGGGTCTTGACGATGGAGCGATGAATTCAAGAGTTGTCAAGTTAGATGGTAGCTGACTTTAAGAGAGCACAAGGATGCTTTTACTGATCAAGTGGAAGGTGGATGAACTGTGACTACGAATAGATCTCAAATATAAGTCCTATGAGGTTGAGATGGAGAGACTATAAAAAGAAGTCTGAGGCACGGAAGAAGGATGTCAATAAACTACCCTACAACTACTGGGTGACACTATCGAAGTGCATACCAAGACGATTGAGAGGAGGCATGAATGCGAGGTAGATGCAACAACTTAGAGTGCCCCAAGTAAATGTTGGACTCACGAGCTTAAGGAGGGCGGCTAAAGTGGTTAAGGTTTTTTTTAGGATGGAGACGACTATGTTTGTGAGGTTGATTTGGATTGTCGGGCGAGGCATCTAGGAAATGAGGTTGATTTGGATTGTCGGGCGAGGCATCTAGGAAAGCAAGGTTGTTTGTTTATCTGAAAATGAAAAGTGAGTGAAAAATTGACTCACATTCATCACTTCATGTATTTGTTCTTATTAAAAGTGCACTTGAAACTGAAATGTAAAATTATATGCTACGTAAGATTTAATGCCCCCTAAAAAAGTGCTCATGTCACATAAAAGTGAAGTGGGGATCACTTGTATGTAACTAATTAAAACTAACTTTTAATAATCCTACCCTCTTATTAATCAATGTTTTGGATGGCTGATACAATCTAGAACCTTAGAACATGAGTTTAGTTTTTAGGACTTTTCTATATTAGTCCTTTGAATCTTTACAATTTTAGTTTAGTCCTCAAATCTCACTTACATTGCTAGATAACACATAAAATATTTTTATAACAAGTTAACAATTAATATGACTAATGAACAGTTTGTTAAATAAAACTTTGCAAAAAATTTGCTTTTTAAAACAAAAGGAGGAGCAATTTTTTTGGTAGATTAAAAGAGCAATTTTACCTAGTATACAAAACTCACTTTCAATTCGTTTTATGTTAGTTACGAAAAGATCATCGAAAATAAAATATGAGTTTAAATAAATAAAAAATTAAATAAATAAATAAAATAATTTTGCCACACCACCTTTATTTTTTTTTAACTTTCAACAATAATTTGATTTTGTAAACAAACGCCTTATTTTACTTACATGGTGACGTGGATACAATTTTTTTACTTGCAAAATAAAATGACTTTCCTACTTTCAATTCACATCTAGTTAGCTAAACACTGCCTAGCTAGGTTTGCCAAGTAGTAGCCTTCCTCTTTTAACGCAGTTAGGACTTCCTCTAGTTTGCAAGGGCTGGGACACCGTCAAATGGATATTGACATCGATGGCCTGATAGAATAGAGTCAAGCTGCATCCCTTGACGATGAGTTGCCACCTCTTTCGATCTTCTTTTCTTCTTTTTCTCTTTTGTACTACCTCCGCCTCCTTAATTTGTTCGTGCGCGCGGGCTTTTGAATATGAAATGAAAGCTTCTCTTCTTGCTTCTTGTTGGATTTGTATCGTGCATCATATTTTTGTAGTTGCATTCATGAAAGGTTAACTTCTCGTACCTCTGTCCCATGCATGCGTTAAAAGATTATTAATTTGCTTCATTTTACCAACTAATTATAGCGAAAATCTCACACTATTACCTCTCGAGGATTGTAAAATGAATTTGGACAATTTTTTATTTGGCTAAATTTCACAAAACATTCAGTTTTTGAGATAATCCTTAACTTAAATAGCCTCTTAACTTTGAGGGGGTTCGTGCATAACCCTCCTGAACCTTTTCTATTCCATTGAACTTCTTGAAGATCTTCCAATTTAACCCCCAAAGTAACACTATTAAGTCTAATGTGTCACGTACCAAAGACGTGACAAAAGAGAAGAAAATACTTCTCGGCCCTTAAAAAGATAAATGTTCCTTTAATTTTTTTTCCATTATTTTTTGGTATTGAATGGTACTTATACTATTACTTAGGGGTTAAGTAAACAATCTGTACTGGGTTTAGTTGTGTTGAATAGTAGAAGTTATGGGGACCGGATAGAGGGGGCATGTGCAAAACTCCTCAAAGTTATGGCGGGGGGTATTTTGTGGAATAGTTAGAGGGTTATTAAAAAATGGCCAAACTTAATAGTTCATTGTGAATTTTACCCTTTTTATTTGTTTATATCTATAATATACATCTCTATGCAGTTCTTAGCATTAAAGTTATTTGGAGAGCTCACTTTGTTTTGATCAGAATCAGATGGAAGCATTTCTATGGACATATTTGCATCCACATATTTTTTAGTGTTTTTGCTTAAGCATTTTGTAAATAAGGATTAAGTGTCTTAGGCATGGAGCTAATTGTATGAACTTACCAGAATATTTTTATTTCAGCTCTTAGGTTGCTTTTTCCGTTAACAAAATTCTGTTTTCATTTGCAGTTGTGCTACTAAGGTAATTCAGCTCTTAGGTTGCTTTTTCCGTTAACAAAATTCTGTTTTCATTTGCAGTTGTGCTACTAAGGTAATCGGCAACTCAGAAGAATTGACTGATCACTTTGTAAAGCTAGGAGTTCAAGGACTAATTGGTTTCGGACAAGGCGAAGGTTCCTTGATTTCTCAGCTGGCTTCTTCCGGGAAAGTGAGGAAGCAGTTTGCTCATTGTTTGGACAACAAGGATGGTGGAATTTTCGCAATTGGACGTGTAGTGCGACCAAAGGTGAAATTGGCACCATTGTACCAAGGGCAAGAGTACGTTACCTTTCATCGCTTATTGTCTTATGAAGATTATTAATTTATTTTCCACTCTACCTATATAGAAATAATGTTTTTTTTTTTTTTTTTTACATTCTAGAAAAGTTGCAAGCTTTTTTGTTGGAACTTTGTCATTATGTAAACTATACATCAACAACAATTCCTATAGCCATCACTATATATTTCCTTTCTTGCTTGGTGAGCTTTTAGTATATAGATAAAGGGGAGCCATGTGGCAGTGACACGAGGGCATAGCGATATAAATATGTTACGTGGGTAGTTCTATCTTGAAGCTGTTCTTGTATCGGACTCGTACCCAAACTCCTTAGACACACCTTGCATGCATGCATACATTTATTTGGGCGTGTACTCAATTAAACAATACATGCTTTAATTTCGAAGACTTGTCAAACATTTATTAGACGTGAATTCTACACTTCACATCCACTTCTTGAAATTTATCGAATTCCAAATTGTGATTTTATTGGTTGTTTGGGTGTCTAGTTAAAAATGCATTTTTACAATTTATAACCACATGATAAAAATATAAATATATTATATGAATTTTAATTCTCATAATATGTTAATAAAAAAAATATTGATATCATATGTACTATTTATTAATTTTAATATATAATATGTGTATATAAATATTTATATAGCTGTGTCCATGTACCCTACACTTTACAAATTTGTTATGTCTCGTACTTGTGCTGATACTCTATCAGAACCCACTCAACATAGGATATAATTAAATGTATTATGACTAGTTCTTTTCGTGCATGATCTTCTGAGTTTATACTTCAGTATAGTCTTCAAAGCCAAATTAGCTAATTATTGAATAAAGCTATAGATATTATGGAGAATGTTTGAGATATAAATATTTTAGTTCGCTAATTGAGTTTGCATTGTCAACCCTGGTGACATCATATATTGAATTTACTTATAATCAATGTTGAAAAAAATGCTTTCCATAAGTCGTTATTCCACACTAGTAACTTAAAAAATCTTGAATGTTAAACAACATTTAAAACGACTGAGACACGTCCTAGTTGCTATTTCCATATAACAAACATTATTTTATAAAAATATACGTTCCGTCAATATAATTTTCGATAGAGCGTTGAAAGAAGTTTCTTCTTTTTCTTTGTTTAAGATTTAATGTATTTAAATATTTACCTTTCAATTGGTTGCTAAGTCTTAATAGCTTTTTCAAGTATTATGATGTACTTTTGATTATGAATTTAAGATTTGTGATATGTTAGAAATGTGAAGTTGGGAAAAGATATATGAAATTGTTAGGACGATTTTGGATTTTTATGGTAGTACTTGTTACTAACTTAGTATGTCTTAAATTAAAATTTATATTTCATTAAAAAGAAATATTTTTTTAATATTTGAAATCTTCGTATTTAAATTAAGGTTATTTGCATTTAAATCCTAAAGTTTAGCTCATTTTTAACTTTGATGTCCCAAAGTTTCTTTTGCCTAAAAAAATTTGCAATTTTACCTCATTCTTAACTTTAAAACACCGAAGATTTTTTGTCCAACAATATTAAAGTTCAACAAGATTTAACTTTGATTAGTGAAAGTTCAACAATATTTTATTTTCATACAAAAACATAAACTTTTAGTTAATTTTTGGTTAAAATATAGGGGTATCACATTTAAAATATTATTTAGGTTTGTGTCATGTCCTGGGCCCTACAAAAGTTCAACAAGATTTAACTTTGATTAGTGAAAGTTCAACAATATTTTATTTTCATACAAAAACATAAACTTTTAGTTAATTTTTGGTTAAAATATAGGGGTATCACATTTAAAATATTATTTAGGTTTGTGTCATGTCCTGGGCCCTACAAAAGTTCAACAAGATTTAACTTTGATTAGTGAAAGTTCAACAATATTTTATTTTCATACAAAAACATAAACTTTTAGTTAATTTTTGGTTAAAATATAGGGGTATCACATTTAAAATATTATTTAGGTTTGTGTCATGTCCTGGGCCCTACAAGTTCATTAGCGCAGTGCAAGTCTTGGGAGCACTAATAACAACTTATTTCTGGCTCAATCCACTGCCAAAAGATGCTAGCTAGTTGCTCTTGAGTCCTTTGAATTCAATATATGAACCCACTCAACTCTTCCTAAAATCCCAATGTGGGACTAAAGAAAGAGGTGTTACAGTTTGGTATTAAAGTTAACTTCTATATATCGAACTTTTGGGTATCAAAGTTAATATGGGGTAGTTGTTTGGATAAAGAAAAACTTTGGTGGTATCAAAGTTAAAATGGGGTATTTACGTGCAAATAACCCATAAAAAGTTTTATGACCATTTTTGTATTTGTTTCAAATTAGAAAGAAGAAAATAAGTATTTAATGTTGTGCAACATTGCTTATGATGTAATGTGCAAACGATTGTCCTGGTTATCTAATATACTATCCAAAGTGGTTGTAATTAACGCATATTTATTTCTTTGTAATATGATAAGCCATACACATATTTCATGTTTGATGTACAATAGACTTGTTAAAAGGTTTTCTATGTTAATTAGGAGCTTACTAATGGAGGGTAAGGAAAAGAAAGGGAAGGGAAAATAGGACAGAGAAAGAGAAAGAAAAGGAAGGAGAAATATATTATTATGTTTGAGAGTTTTCTAAAAGGAATGGAGGAGAATCTTTTCTTTGCTTTTGGATCCACATCATGATGGTCCAAAGTTTTTCTCCTGATAATAGAGGGGAATTTGGTCACCTTCCTTCCCCTCCATCCCCTTAAAAAATAAAGTACCAAACAAGGTCAACTTTTTGATCTCCCTCTCCCCTGTCCTTCATTCACCCCATCCATAAAAGGGTGTTAATGAATGATTTGGTTGAACTAAGTAGGGTGTGCTAAACAGAGGTGTTGGTTTCTCTGAGTACGTACATATTATACTGAAATTCTTGATCCAGCTTTGAACTTTTTGTTGGTACATGTAAGGTACATCTTTTTGCTTTAGTATATAATTCATAGATATATTGATCTTAGTTTAATTTTTTTTTTTTTATCACTGCAACAGGCATTTTTCTATGCTCTATACAATATTGTTGGAGTCAACAGAGGTTGATGGTCAATCATTAAAAGAAGAAGAACCACGCTTAACTGTTATTGATTCTGGTGCAACCACGGTTCGTTTTCCACGTAGAATTAATGATTTCGTTGAGAAACAGGTATGAACCCTTTACTACCATCTTATTACTTTATTTCACGGATTATTAATTCATTTCTCGCTCATTTATATGTACTAGATCTTCTCGAAGCATCCAAAACTTAGCAAGCACCGTGATCGAAAAAATAGCACATGCTTTTCTTATTCTTTTGAAAGGTATTCATTTGCTCATAGAAACTTTAAAGCTTTCTGAATTTGCTTTGCTGGATGAGTTTTATGCACTTAGTTACAAATCCAATTATCTTATATGTTCTTTTACCTTTTGTCCTTAAAATCTATCACATTTCTTATTGTTTAACTCCTAAAATTTTGTGCTCTATCTCATGTTATACCTTCCTTCAAAATTTTAAAAATAATTTTAAAATTTTTTATGTTCCTAGGTTTTCTTTGATGACCCATTGTGCCCCCACCCCTCGCAGCCCTTGCTCCCGCTTCCTTTATACCCTACACTCAGACCCACATGATGTGACATTGTCCACCAGAATTGAATAAATTGGGGATAAGTCTAGATAAAATTTAAAAAAACTAAAGAAAGCAGCAGAATATATACTGTAGCCAAAGAATGTAAAAGAAATATACAAATGTCTAATGGTAAATTGTAGGGAGATTTATAGCTAGGGTCAATTTACATAGCCCCAGCACTTTCGGATGTTTTGTAAAAATCCTCCTAAGTTTTATAAATTAGAGAAAGTGTAAATTAAAAAAAAAAGGTGGTTAGTTTGGCATTTCTTGGGGTTAACCCCATACGTGTTAAAAAATAAAATTTCACTTAAACCCCCTTAAATTTTGGTAGACAACCCCATAACTAACATGCTAGATATGTAAGGGGATCCAAAATTTGAGTGTCCAAACAACAAAAATGTCCCTAATAGAAAAATCCCTTCATGTCCTTTCTAATAATTTTAAATGTAATTTTCGCAAAAACTTGTTAAGCTAGGGTTAGGGATTTAACTAATTTAATTATTGATTTAGTTTAATTTAATTTAATTTCACAGTATTTGTATTAATTTGAAAAGTGTATTTTGGTCAATTCAGTAAGGGGAGTTTGATTGAAAAATTTGAAAAAGGTTAGGGATTTTCTAAAACATCTCGAATTTTTTTATTATTTTTTGTGGGGTTGGGGGTACAGAAGAGGGTGTGATGATTGTTTATGATGCTTTTGATATTAAGAGGTGTCATCTAAAAAGTAGCAAAATTCATTGGGGTTTTGTGAAATTTAACAAAACTATACGAAACTAAATTATGTAATCATTCAAAGTTATTTAGCTTTTTTTTTAATTTACTCTGGGCACATATACATGTTTTATTTAGTGTTTCCGTAAATTTTTTAATTAAAATAGAATAAGAAGTAAATGATGCAATTCAATTCAATCTAAGAAAGAGGAACTAAAACCTCTAGTTCTGTTTGTCATTCCTTATTTTTCCTTGTAATATTTCACCTTTTAAGGGTTAATTTTAGGAAACCGTTCTGAAGTTTGGGGGAGTTTTGTACATAACTTCTTGAACTTTTTGACTCGTAAAACCCCCTGAAGTTTTCAACTTTTCTCACCGAACTCTAGTAATTGTAATTGACAAATAACTAAAGGTGTTATTGAGAGGAAGAAAACAATTGAGGATTTTGTTGGCTAACTAGCACTAAACTATATTGTAGTTTCCCCTACTTTTTATTTATATACCCTCATTTGTTTTTGGTAGTATTTATATACCTTGAGGTTTTTAAAAATTTCAATTTAATACGGTAATAGATTTTTTATATAGACATAAGATATTCTCCCGAAACTTCTCAAGCTCACATGCTAATTTTAGAAATCTTTAAACCCTTAATTTTGTTAAAATTACTCATAAAACCCACCATAGTTCTATTTTACACCTACGCAATTCCTTTTTTAAATAGAATTATGATAGGTCTAAAATCAAATTTAATAGAAATTAAGATAAACATGTTCTAAAACTAGCATGTGATTTGTCACATTCGAGTTTTCAGGAGAATATTCACATCTTTGCATAACAGAACGTATTAAAGCGCAAAATCTAAAAACTTAAGGGTATATAAGTACTACAGAAAACAAGTAACGGTATATAATATTTTAAATATCGGTTATTGGTGATATACTGGATGACTAAAATTTATATTAGATTGATGTTATCCAGGATATTTTAGGGATAAGTAGTGAAAGTTGAATTACCATACCGAATAGTGTGTAATTTAATATAATAATGTCCCAAACTATATTCTAGGCACTCTTTGACCTTTATTTGTAAAACATAATGTAAGCAATCACAGTGAATCATGTTCAGAGAGACCATATAGATGCATCATCATAAAGTAAAGAATCAATCCCAAAGCAAGTGCACAATCTCGGTTCAAGTGAGCACAACCAAAATTTTAATATATATACAAGAAGTATTGAGATCCTACCTACAACATGCACAATCAAAATTGCAAGTTAAAGGGAAATTCTACTCATCAGATTAGACCCTAGATAATACATGGCAAACTAGATGATTTGAACCCTAAAAGAAATTGCCCAATAAATCGGATTTACACCGATATATTAGGAAAAAAATTAGCCAAAAATGATAAAAAAAAAATTTAGAAATCGTTGCGGCTGTGGTCCAATTCTTATATATTAGCCACAAATCAAACAATATCGACTGATTTTTAAAACACTCACGGTATATAAGTACACTTCTTTTCGTCTCGATGACATTTAGTTATTTTCCAATTGCTGATAGGACAAGTTTCTAAAAAAAACTTACTTTGATATTTAATTATAGAAATCGACCCATATTTTATTTATTTCCAAGTTTAACCCATCTTGGCCATGCCAACCAAAAATGGGTTGGTTTTTCAAATTTCAAATAACCAAGAATGTCATCCCCTGGCTATTATCCATTTCTGTTGAAGATCATAGTGAGAGATTTGAAGGTATCAATTAAAATCCTGATCCATTAAAAAACTAACCATTATTTCAGTTTCCAAATAGCAAAACTTCTTATCAAATAAAAGCTAATTAGCAAATCTTAAGGATCCTACCAAATTAAAATTGACCGCCATGGTCTCTTTTTCCCTTTTGGATTTCTAATGAATCTAATAAAATAAAAACTAACCATAATTTGGATATTCTAAAGAACACAATTTTAGGAATCTCTACCAAATTAAAATTATTCGTAAGCATCACGTTCCTTGTTTACCTTTTTATTTTCCAACTTGTACAGGTTCCCAAAATATGTGGGGATGATAACACAATCCTTTTCTCATTGAGATTTTCCAAATAGACCCATTTTTGGCTGATAGGGCAAAATGGGCCAATATTTGTAAGTAAACAAAATATGGGTTGATTTCGGTAGTTAAATATTGAAATGGGTTTGTTTTAAAAGTTTGTCCTTACGGATAATTGGCCATAATGAAAAAAGTTAAAACTTGAAGGGTGTTTTGTGAGACACCTAAAATTTGTGAAGACTGTGTAGGATAAAAAGTTCCAAGGATTATGTGCAAAATCCCTCAAAGTTTTGGGGGTTTTGTGAAATTAACCCTTCTTTTATTATGTTCTTGCATCATACATTTAGGGGACAGAACATTAAGTAATTGTTAACAATTATTTCCGGTTTACCTTAATTCTTTTCTTGTGAAGTTGCACATGTATATAATTTGCAAGAACATTAAGTAAAAGTTTGTTTTTAAAAGTTCGTAAGATTTGTCCGGCAAATGCTATTCCTGTGAAGGCCGTTCTTGCATAAGCTTTGACCTTAATTAGTTGTAGTTGAAAATACACTATAATTTGTTGACTTTAATAGAGGAGTCAGATTGTATGTATTAATTAAATAAATTATCTTTTCGTCTGTAATTTTCCTTTAGTATATGCTGCCTTTTGTTGTCATATTCTCTTGCCGGAGTTTTCTTACTAGAACTTTTACAAGATGTATAAGCTTGGTATTAATTATCATATTCTTCATAATCAATGAGAATATAAAGAAAGTATTTTCTTTCTTTTATTTCAAGATAGTATTTGAGCAAACCTTATGAGTCCTAGGAGTCTATATTCTTCCAAACCCCCCCTACCCTACCCCCCGCTCCGTGCAGCCATCTTTGCACTAGCTCTCGATAGCTTCTGTTGTGCGTAGCGGAATCTGAAAAGAACACAACCAAACTGAGATAGAATCACAATCAATAGCTAAAATAAGAACCAAACAATACAAGACACAGATTTTATTGGTTAGTGTGAAAGATGAGAGCAAGAGGGTATTTATATCCACTCAAAACTTCAGCAAAAACCCAAGCAAAATAACCAAAACCCCCCCAGAAAACACTGTTGGAAACTAGTCGTTACTGTGCAACGGCTCTTTCATAAGTTGAATTATGAGTCGATTTATGAGTCAACTTATATGAGTCGACTCAGCAGAAGAAAAATCATAACTGCGCTGCACTTCGTGAGTCGACTAATGAGTCGACTAAACATGCACAGACCTTAAGTGCACAGAAAAACTCAACTTTAAACTGGGTTTAAAAATATCAAATAAATTCAAAAAAATATAAAACTTTGGAAAAAGATTGTAGACATGATAATACACATGTTACAAAAACTAGTTTTCAAAAAGGACCTCTTAAATATAAAATATCATCATTTTACAAAATAGTCCAAAACATAAAATGTAAACTTATGAATTTTGATATTTTGACTAAATCATATTTTGAAACTTTACAAAATGATTTTATAGACTTAAAGGAAGATATAAACTATTGTTATGAAGTCTATAAATAATAAAAACAATATTTTCACAAATATAATCGAATATGAAACATATGAGTATGTATATGAATATATATTTGTTTCATATCTATGAAATTAAACCAAAACAACATATCCACATAGAAAATATATATATATATATATATATATATAAACCAATAAAATGTGTGTGTATATGATTTAGCTTAAAGTACCAACACACATAATACAAACCTAAACTAATGTTACCCAAGCTAGATCTTGATCTTCAATAAGCTTTACTTGGTACACATTACGGATGAAGCTAGAACTTGGATCTTCAACTTGAATTACATAGGCTTCACCCACTATTCCGCCAACCTTCATTGGATATGATCGTTAAAACGTAATTCCATCCATCCTCTAACATATTGTTTGCTTGGAATA